TGACAGGTACATATGTACGTTCCACATGATCAGACTAGCTTAATTCTAAACCCTCGGGGCCTAATCCCATGTACAGAAGGCATTAAAGCAGACATCCACTGCCTGTGGATGGGTAGGATACAAACTTCTCTTGTGCATACCAAGTACTGCAACAGTCACTGTCATTTAAAAAAAAAAAAAAAAAAAAAATCTTGTTTCTCTGTGAAAAGCCAGCCAATGCACATCGAGATTATTATGCCCTGAGCCTGTATTCTACAAACAAATTCTTGCTTCAGGTAAGAGGATATCCATGTCTATTAGTGAAGACATTTGGGTATGTTTAGCTGCCAGGTGGCTTCTCTAGCCACTATACCTAAAAACCTATGCTCTCAGTGATAGAGAGTAAACCTCCCAGGTATGAGTGGTACTACTAAATCGGATAAAGGGATTATGCAGACCTCTACTACTTGCAACTTGGTTGACTACTGACAGGGAAAAAGTTACAAGCTTTTATATAAGGAGAGGGTGGCAGGCTCAGTAGTACCAGCATAGAGTTGACTGCACACCTACATGGAAAGGTAACCCTCACGGTTTAAATACATCACTTAATTGCAGTAGCTATCATATTCTATCAGGATACACCACCTGTTAAAAAATAAATACTGGAACTCAGTATAACTAAATTAAATGGGGATTACTGTCTAAGACGGACAAGCACATCATCAAAGCTTAGACTAAGACTTGTCAGTTAGTCATCCGATCTATGTCGTTTTCCCCACACTGGTATATGGAGTGCTGAGAATGGCTTTGTAATGGTAAAGAGAAGCTCTTTTCATGGCCTCTGTTGAAGACATACATACCTAAACTGTATCTTGACTTCAGAATCTAATAAGTAAAAGAAAATTGGGATTGTTACTTGTGTGACAAGAACAGATGTTCAGCAGTCAAAATGATCAGTTTTGCACTCTAGCAAGCAAATCTCTGCATGTTCTAAAGGCTCAATGAAAAGCTTTCAAGTCCCAGAAAAAATAGCCAGCAGCAGCACAAACAGCAAGTATGAGCTGTACAACACAACACAAGAAGCAGATAATACTACATGGGCTTGCCTAATGATAAAGTTATGATAATGCAAAAACTGACTACTGTGAGGAACACACAAAATAGCCATTTATCCCTAGACAGACAATCTGTAGTTCTGTTGCTGCCTTCTCAACCGACAGCTTTCAGAACATAGAAGTCTGCTTCAAGTGTCTAAGTTCTGGACCTCATGTGCCTCCAAACTGCTAAACTGGCTGATAAAATGAGAAGCACTTTTACATAGGAAATTTTCAGATTCTCCAACCCAAAATTCCTAGGAGAAGTGTAGAGAGAGCTCTTTTTTTTTTTTTTTTTTTTTGGTGGGGGGGAGGGGGTGGTGTCATGATTACATAACAAATATTTCTGAAAATGCAGATGCTACCAGTTTATTTTAAGCACACCCGTGTATTTAATTGTATTGACATTCTTAAGAGGAAAACAGAAATACCTTGATCTTGGCTTTCAAAAGAGTATGAACAAAACCTCGTAACAACACATGTGACAATTTAAAATAAAGCTGCATGATCATGATTTTGAAAGTGATTCTTGATTATTAACTACAGTAATTTGAAAGAATCTGATTTGCAAAATTTGTTGAGAATTAACTCTGAATTTAAAGCAAAAATCATTTTTTTTTTTAAAAAAAAGCAGCTTTAATCATGTGTCCCAAACTTGTTTATGGTCAGGACAACCTCTCATTTATAGGTCAACAAATGCGGAAGACAGCTTACACTAAGTTTGGGGCTTAGAGGCTGTTCTTCCAAGAAAAAAAAAATTACATAAGGATTGTCTTATTTGAACTTAAAATTGAACAGCCGTTGGACCTGAAGGGCTGGTGCAGAAAGCTCACATAGCAATGTCCAAGCTCATACTCAAGAACGTAATCACATATCTGTAAACAAACAGGTTTTGGTCGTCTCATGTAAAATGAGCTGGGCTGGGTCCAATCCCAGCAAATACAACAGTAACCTCACAGTATCTGTTATGATTTAATAGACTCCATATCCATGGTACCAGAACTACCCTCACTTTATTCTAGAAATGTCTTTATTAGGTCACTCTGGTTTAGTGAGCAATTGAAAACTGCAAAGTTGTAACTACTCCACTTAGTTAATGAGGATCTCACTTTTTAAAAGTTGCCAATTTTGTATGTCTTCTGATCAATGAATGTACTTTTTATTCCCAAAGTTCAGGGGGGCAGGCAGGGGAAGAAATGTTACACTTTAAGAATCACTGCTAAATAATACGCATACAAGACTTCATTACATCACCTTCGCCACCACCACCACCCCAAGATAATAGCTGACTTGGGGTTTTATACACACTAGAGAAGTGTATTTATAAATATAATACCTGGTTACTCTGAATGAAATCTGTGATCAGTATCTTCACCACCACCACCAGGAAAGAAAAAAAAAAAAGAAAAGAAAAAAAATATCAAAAAACCTTCAAATCACTGCTCTCTTCATAGACATATTACAAAATGAAAATAGAAGCTGTGGTGGCAATAGTCCAGATGGAAAACAAAGTGTGATGCTACCTGCAGGGCATAATTCTTTTTTTTTTCCCCTCAGTATTGACATGCCCCTGCTACCCTACTCAATTATGTGGGGAACCACTTATCTTCACAAACACAAAAGAACAATCTTTCTATTTCCAGTTGAGAATATGAAAACAATACTATATACAAAAGGAAAGCTTAAGATTAGATATAACCTTATTTGGTTAGTGTCAAATTATAATAGCCAAGTTAATACTTTCTATTACTTTACGTAGCAGCTGAACAAAAGTATTCAGGAATATTTAGTGCCTGAATTTACAAGTTGTGCATTTACTCTCTACTCCCATATGACAGACTACACACAAACACACACTTTTCTAATACATCATTGAAAAAAATTCTTCCCACTGAAACACACTATGAAAGAGGAAAATAATATGATCAAGCACAGGAAGATGTAATTTTGCAAGCCAGTGATGCTAGCTGAACCACTCTGTAGATAAGGCCCATGAATTTGCCTACATTTCCTTATGAACAAGTTTATTTAATAAAGGCATGCAGGAAAGCATCAACAATGAATACATTTACAGTGACAAATTATGTAGCACACCTCAAAGAACAGAAGTGGAAAAAAAAAATTACATGTGATCAAGCATTTTGCTTGCCAGCTTATGGCTCATTGTTCCTATTTGTTCCATCTTTGGAAGATGGTAAGAGATGATTATAGTCTGTTTTTTATACTACCCATACTACTCATCCTATTTTTTGACCCCATAAGCAAAATGCCTTCATCATAAGTATAATTTATAAAACTAACTATTCTTCACTTCTCCTGTGTAAGCTTAATGTTCAGCTGCCCAGCAGAACCTGGTTGACAGACCCTTGAGTTTCTCAAGTGTTTGAACCAGCTAAGTGATATGGACAGCCTTATTTTAGCTTCGTTCTTTAGTACTTTGCCTGATAACACTAGGAAACAAATGCCTGAGAGCTGTGCACTGCAGAAATCATCCAATACCAAACCTTGCACAAATGTCTAACTATATCCTGCATCCACTACAGCTTCCAAGACACAAGATTCTTACTGTACTATGCAGCAGCAGTCAAATCAATCATGAGGAACCACGCACCTTCATCCCAGCAGCCCACCAAAGGCATACTGTAGCACCATGCGAAACAAAGATTTAGGCAGGAAAGCTGCAAAGCTTATGAGAGACTTTAATTTGACTTATTAAAGCAAATTTCCAGTGCGCACACACTGTGCATACGTGTGTGCACAGTGATCCATCTCTAATTTATACACCTCTGCCAGAAAAGAGAATCTGATGTGAGCTTTAAGTTTGGTTACTGATTAGCCAAACACTTACTTTCCCCATTAGAAACACAATCCTGTTCTTTTACAGCAACCTTTGTCAGTCAAAGCAAAGCTATATTTCTTTTAACAGACTGCACGTACATAGCTGGACTGCATCCTATTCTTTTGCAGACTTCTGTAAAGGTTAGGTATGAATTTCACGAGAACGGTAAAGAGCTTACAGCTTTTAGAAATAGAAATAATATTCCAATTCTGCAGTACTAAAAATACCGTTTCACTGGAATCAGTGGTTTCCCAAACACCAACTGTGACACCGTTATGACTGAAAGATAGTACTTGAATGCCACATACGGCTAAAGAAACTCAAGGCATTGCCACAGGCCGGGTAGCTTTATAGACAGACAGGCCCGGGCACGGGGAGGCTGCAGCCCTCGGGGCGGGGGGCCCCTGCCACAGGGCGCAGCCAGGTTTCCACCTCTTCCACCGAGGCGGGACACTGCTGACCCTACAGCCAGAGCCGCACCTGCCTCTTACCCACGGATCGCAGCGGTTCCCCGTATAAAACACAACGTTTTATGCTCACGAAGCCTGCGCGGCACTCGGTCAACTCGGAGACCCCCTTTAACTAGACTGCTGTCTTTTTCCATAAGTTTCCCGTCACACCGGCAAGCGCGGGAGGCCGAGAAACAGATTCCCGACGAATTTACTGTTTGCTCCGGATCGTTTTCCTCAGCAATGTCGACTTTCTTACCAAAACTCTGCCGTGCGGCACCGCCGGGAGGGGGACCCCGGGCCCTGCGAGCCGCCGAACCGGCTGCCCCCCCGCGAGGGAAAGGGCCCCCTCCCGCCCCGCCAGGGAGGGCGGGCGGGCGGCGGTAACCGACATAGGACGAAGCACCGATCAAGGGAAGAAACTGCCGGGAGGAAGCTGTGAGGGACGCGGCGGTCGCTTGAGGGAGGGCAGGAGACGACGGCTGGGGCAGGGGTGCGTGACCGCTGGGGACAGGTGGGGAGGGGGAACCGGGCGCGGGAGCCCCGAGGAGGAGCAGGCAAGGAGGGCGACGGCAGCCGAGAGGAGGGACCCGGCGGGACAGGGAGGGGACGTGAGGCGACCGTGGCCCCGTCACCCACCGAAGAGGCTGTTGCTGAAGCCGTCCCAGACGCAGCCGGCGGCGTCCCACACCCAGCGGCTCCTCAGGCAGGACATGAAGGTAAGGCTGACGCCGAAGACAGACACCAGCAGGTCGCTGAGGCTGATGTTGACGAGGAAGAGGTTGGTGGGCGTGCGGAGCCGCTTGAACTTGTAGTAGAGCACCAGCACCAGCAAGTTGTTGCACAAGCCCAGCATGCCGATGGTGGCGACGAGCAGCGCCAGCAGCTCGTAGGTGCCGGCGCTGAAGAGGGGCCGCTCGCCCGGCACCTCCTGCTCCGCCGCCGCGGGCTCCGGGCGGCTCGTCGTGCCCGTGCTGTTCCCCGAGTGCATGGTTCATAGCCTGCCGGAGCCCGGCCGGAGCAGGGCTAAGCCTTTCCGTCCATTCCTAGCCCCACGGCGGACCGCTAATGAGGGCAGGGGAAGGAGGAGGAGCCCCCTCCGCCTTCCCGCCCACGGAGGGCGCGCCCTCGCCCTTGCCTGCCCTAGGGCGGGCCCTGCCCCTGCCGGGCGGTCAGGGCCTTGCTCCCGGCGGCATAAACCCTGCGAACGCCGCCTTGCCGCCGCACAAGGTCTGTGTGAGTGCCGCATGGCTCCTTCTCAACAAATATCTCACCTCGCCCTCTCACTTGCTGCGGTGAGCAGCCTGGTCATGACTGGGACGCGGCTGTCTCCTCCTCCTCATTAAAATCCTCCGTGCGCTTTGGCTCGGGTACGGCTGCCTTCAGCTGCGCTTCCCTCTGGGGAGCCGCGTTCGGGCAGGCCGCCTCAGCGCCCTGCTCGGGGAAGAGGTAGAAACTGCTCAACTGATATTTAGACTTCTTATCCAGATATCCTGCCAATGAAACCTCCTGTTATGGCGATAGGTTCTTCTAAGGCGCTTCCCCACAGTGCTCAGGGGTGGCTCTAGTAGTTGCATCCTCACAGGGCGACCGGCAGCATCATGACCCAGGCAAACTCATTGTGCAAGTGAGCACCTTTTTGTCAGCCACGGAGCAAGTAAGATACCAAAGTTCACACCATGAAGTCACCTGTTTTTATACCTTTGTCTCCAGTGTCAGCTCTAGCTGGTTTTTGTCAGGGTGTTGTACTGACCTCCAGCTGTGCTAGGGCAGCTGTACTGTCTCCAAATCCAACCTATCCCTGAATGTATCACAGTGATTTTTGTTCAGCATGGCTTTGGGCCTAAGACACCTGGCCAGACCTCTAGTTTGTTAGCTTTATTAGCTGACCCACATATGTCCTGATGTGTGACAGCCTTCACAAGGACCCGAATAAAACTTTCAGTTTAGATCTATTCTTAGTTTAGATAAAAAAAAAAAAAAAAGTCAGCTGTGGAAGCAACAGAATTTTCATGGAAATGTGTCTTGGCAAACAATACCTGGTTTTTTTCCCCTCTTATACACATAGTGGTATTAAAAGGGTAGACTGAGGGTGTGATTCTTTGTGGACTGGGACTGAAAACATGGGTAGCTGAGGTAGACTTGTTGTCTTTCAAAGCATATATCTGTATACAAATTATGGCCTTGTCATGGCAATTTTATATGACAAACTACTGCTGTAACACAAGGGTTAGAAATAGGGAAAGTCACGGGTCAGAAAAATAAAACACTGACTAAAGTAACTATTGTTATCAATGTTAACTTTATTTACAATCTATGTTTTCAAATCCATCAAATATGATTTAATTGATAACTGAAACCAACTTTAAAAAGCTAGTTCAATCTGTTTCTTCATCACTGGTGTTCTTTTTTTTTTTCTCATTACAAAGGCAGCAGGAGCAGCTCCCTTTCTCAAATCAATTATATTTTTTCCCCCTAAAAGCTGGATTAATAGAGCACATGACCTTCCAAAATTTCCAGTAACAGACTACTAGTACTTCAGCTTGGGCTTTAGGGAAGACATAATTTTTTAGCTTTCCTTGTCCGTAAGAGAGATTTACCTGTGTATGACAGAGTGTCTGCAAAAATATTATGTCAATATGCAGTCATGGGTTCGTTTAGGACCACTTGCTGCATGGTGAAAGTCTAACAATAAGACATGGCTGGGCCAAATTAATGGTACACCTCACTGAGAAGAAGACATCTCTATCTTCTGCCTTTAAAGAAAAATCTTAATTGTGTACATTTTTTATCCCTGCAAAATGAAAGGAGTGAAAAGCTGATAAGGAGGATCAGGGAGAAATGTAATTTAGTGAGTAGTACATGTCCATCCAACATACTGTCCATTGGCAGGTTCCATTATATACTCAGGGTTTCTAAGTAGTTTTTCACTACAGCACCTGTCAAAAATACTCCTTCTAGATGTCTTTTGAAGTTCTAGAAAATATGAGAAAGAGAACCCATAAATTACATTTTACAAAGATAATATCTCAGAATTCCTGGTTTGGGATTTTTCATAGCAAAATTAAATAGATACATAAATATGCGGTCTCTTCAATGCTTGATTTGATGATGATCACATTATTAATATTGTCAAATTGCTAACATTATTCAAATGATCTTGAATATTTCATGAGCAGAGTTCCATTTGTCTTCCATGCGCTGTAATTATTCATATGAGGCATAACAAAAAGAAATGTTGTGTTATTGTATCATCAGGTCAAAGGCAAAGCTGGAAAGAGAACCTTGACTTCTAATTCTAGTTTGGCACCTGTTTTATAGAGCCAATGCAGCTATGGTTTTGATAATCTAATTAATTCATTGGCCAATCCTTTTCTAACTTTTCACACAATTAAAAAGCTGAAACATGTAAGAAACCCAGACATCCGCTTTGCAATGCTTCATGTTTGCACTATTTTATATTTGAACCATACCCTGCTCATCAAACATGCATGCGTATTAATGGAAATGCTGCAAAAAGGATTTTACCTTTACTTTTACAGTTGCATGAAAGGAGAAACCACAACCCAGTATTTGCACTTCTGGAAGTGTATGCGTGTGGCTTACTGGAAGCATATCTCAACTCGAAGTACTAAATAGATATGTGGCTGAGCTCATGGGATTAAAACAGTAGAACAAGAAGCTGGAATACAAGGTCCCCAGTCCTGTACTATAAAAACAGTCCTTGAAACTCCTAGATCGCTTCTGCAACAGTCCTTTTAATGTGTTGTCTGTTATGCACAATTTACATGGTATTGTATTTACATGGAATGCATTGGCTGTAAATTTTCAGGTGACCGACATGTATATGTGTGTAGATATATGCTTACATATGTATAAGAAAAACCTTAAATGTAGCTATGGAAATAATAATTCACAACTGGAAAGTCTGCAGGTGTCTGGGACTCCCTTCAAAGGTTCCCTGCCTTTGCTGTATTTAGTAATCTGAAATGTTTCAGGACACCAGGGCATCAAGTGTCACTCACATGTTAGAGCTGAGGAATCTGAAGCAGAGTAAATAAAGTGCTAAAGTCTCTGCTACTCTCTAACCTTGTCTAGAAATACAAACCACAAACCATGACCCCCAGTTCTAACCATACCATCAAAAATGTCAGGGCTTTTGCAGTGAGAACACTGTGGGGTGGAAAAAGAGTGTTTTAAGGCATTTAAGAGACCTGTTTCATTTCCCATTTGTTCATTCACTTATATGTTGTTTTCGCTCATTTTCTCTCTTCTTTCTTTTCTATCTTTTGCTAGTATGCCTTTCAAGTCAAAGGCTCTTTCCTGACAAGCAGAGAGTGAGCAGAAAAGAGAACCTTTTGTCCGTACTCAATACATTTGTTTCTGGAATCAGATGATGCTGGGGTTTTGCTTCCTGTTTTGAACTTTGTAAACTTATTATTTCAAAGGGCATGGTAGACAGCCAGACTGCATTCCTCTAAAAGAAAAAACAAAACAAAACAAAACAAAACAAAACAAAACGACACCACCCCCCAAAAAAATCTAGCTACCTGGCTTCAGCTTTTTAATTTGGATTTTTACAGCCTTCTCCTGGCATTTGTTTTCTTACATGTTCTCTTCGCTATTCTTTAGCCTTAAAGGCAGATGAAAGCCAAGTGATTATTCACTGTATCTATATATAGCTGCAGCGTATATCTATAGAGCAAGGGAGAGTTTATGGACAGAAGAAACCTTTCATCTTTTCCCAACCACTTCACTTTAAAACAGGGCTTTTAATATAGATCTACACCTGTTGATAATGCAATACGTAAGGAAAAAAATGCACAAGTCTAATGGCAAAAGTTCAAAATTAGGGCTTGATCTTGCAGAATTTGTAATCCTAGCTATATAATCTAGTCCATATTGGGATGTGAGCTCTAAATCATAAAGCAGGCTAAGTGGAAAAGTTGCAAGAATCTGAGAACATTCTGGACTGAGAAAAGTGTTTGGCTCAAACATGATTCATTGAAGCAAACACAAGTGTTTGCAGCAGGGAGGGGACCCAAATGGACAATCCTGGGAGGTGAGAGGATGCTGTCAGAACATCTGTGCTAGAGCTGGAAGTTGGCTGCAGCATGTACCATGACATCTGAGCTCTAGTATACCTGGCACGTGTACAAATAGCTGTACTAGCTGCTAGTGTGATTTATCTCACCTAAATAACATATTTAAAAGTTAAGCACATAAGACCAGTAAGATGAATCACTCTCTGAAAGTGTTTATTATTATTGACTGGCATATAAGGTCAGTTGAATGATTAACTTTTAGATGGCTGTGTTAGGTGAGTGGAACTTCATCTTGGCTATACGAACCTGTGTGGGGCTGTGGTACATGCTCAGGTGGCAGATGCATATTGATGCCTCTGTGGCACCTCTTTCTTGCTAAGTAGATTAAAACAAGTAGTGATATATACTTGTACCTGCTGACATCGTACCTCCCTTGGATGTATAAACACAGCTGTTAGGGCAGCTTGAACCCTAAACACTAACATTGTAAAACCAATGTAAGACCAGTAACACCAGGTTTTGCAACAATAACCCTGTGAAATTCAGTTGTGATATAAACTGTTTATTTTAAAGGAGTAACCTTTGATAGGACTTCATCCCTATGCTGCAGCTTCTTGTTAGTGTGGCAAACATGAAGTGAAAGCGATTACAAACTCACTGGCCTGTTGTGGTTTTCGAGAGTCCAACATACCAATCAATAAATAGTGAATAGGAAATATGATTTTTAAAATTATCACTTAGTCATTTCAGCTGTTGTTAGTGACACAGAAGAGCAAATGCACTTTATAGCAAGGAGTGTGATACTGTTTGTGGGATGATAATACGGCAAAAGCAAAGTGAAGAATGAAGTCAGCAGAAAAGAGAGTGAGCTCATGTAAATGTGAACTTGACAGCATCCCTTCAACACTGTTTCATGGGAGAACTTTAATTTTTACATTGCTAAAGTTAATGAAGGGTTGACTTGCCCAACACCATATCAGTCAGAGAGGAGTTCAGCTGCTTTGAACTCCAGCAGCTCTA